CTAATGCCTTAAATTTTGTGTTCGTTCGCAGTAGAATCGGGGGAGCTTGGCATTCGCAGCACTGGCAAAGGGATCTATAGAGTGCGGCCCCCAACGTCGCTCGAGAAGATTAAACCATGGGGCCTTCAAGGTGTAGTCATCTCGGTCGAGAGTCTTCGAGAGCTCGTCCGCGAGCGTGTTAAGCTCGCGAGGTATCCATTCCATGATCAAGCGAATGCGACGAGTCATACAGGTGCGGATGATGGCTTTGCATGCGGTAGTGAGAAAGCTGTTGCGTGATCCACCCTTTTTTAGAATAAAGAATACGCCCTGGTTGTCGACATGCACGAGCACATGCTTGTTCTGGATGAAGCTGGTGAAAGTTTGTGGTGCCCAGAGCACCCCCTCTAACTCACGACGAGTGCTGGACGTGCCAAGTAGTTCCGGGGGCATGTTCACGCAGGCCTGATGAGTCGTCGTGGAGAATGTGTCGAGTGTGGCCCCCCAGCTGTGCGCGCTGGCGTCGACGTGAATGATTGCGTCGTAGCTACCGCGAACATGAAACGGGGCTCCATTGAAGTGGTCAAACTCGGTTGACCAGAACTCCAACTCTTCGCAAGCACTCGGGGACAGTAACAACTTGATGTTCCATGAAGACGCATCGTTGATGGTTTGTAGTAAGGCATGACTGAATGCTCGCGCAGTCGCCCCAAGGGCAAGGGTCATGGAGGCGAGCATGCCTGTGATACGTGCGACTTGCCGTACTGGGACTTTGTGTTGTGCATGTCCTGCTGCCACTAATGAATCGATGGTGGATTGCAGGGCGCTTCGTTGCTCGGTGCCGACAGAAAATTGTCCCCGCTGGGTATCGAGCTCCAATCCTAGGAATCTTAGCTGCTGAGTAGGATGGAGATGAGACTTTTTGGCGTTGATCACGAGGCCCGCTTCTCTTAGGTCCGTGATCGTGCGGGTGCAGACATCTCGAGCCGCGGCTTCTGTGTGGCACAGAAAGAGGATGTCATCTACATAGGGAATGACGCGGACCCCTGTTGCTCGCCATCGATGTGCCAACTGCTTGATCAATTGAGTAAAGACGAAAGGCGCTGTCGCTAGTCCGAACGGAAGTGATGTGAAACAGTACGAACGTCCCTCGAACTGAAAGCCCAAGAATTTCCAACAGGACGCGTGGATGTCAACGTGGTGGTAATCCGACTTGAGATCAATTGAAAACATCCAATCCCTTGGATGTGCAAGTTCTACCACGCGAGATAGTCCTTCGTACTTGAACTTCGGAATGCACAGCTCGTTATTAACTTTGCGTAAATCTAGGATGAGGCGACACTTGTCTCGCTGCTCGACGACGTTGAGGGGGCTAATGCATGCAAGCTCCGATGCTGGCACCTCGATTGCTGCGCCGGTTTGAAGGAGGTCTATGATGGCTGATCACGTAAAATCCATGTGAGCATGGGTTCCAGCATGATTGGAGCACTGAAATGGTTGTGGCGGTCCTTGTTTCCACGGCATCCAGTAGCCTCGTTCGATAAGATAAGACTGCTCGTACACCATGTTCGCCACCAAGCCAATGCGGATCGCAAGCGCCCTCGCATGATGGAAATTGTCATATCCGTCACTGCGTATTCGAAAGGGTCGTCTTGTTGCCCCAAAGCATGCATCGGAAGGCCTGCACATGGCAGTATACGATGATGCAACCCATAACAGTTATATATTTTTTTTTTTTTTTCAATCCAAGCAAGCGTTGACGCTCAAGTGGGATAACCCCTTTTGTAAGCATGAAACCAGGGTTTTTTTTTTTTTTTTTTTTTATAATTAAACGTTCTTGATGGCTCCCATGAAAGCATGTTTCCAGAACTCATAGACTTCCTTTGCTAGCACTTCTCCAAATCCGTGGATCCATTTCTCGACCTTCTCTCTCTCTCTCTCTCTCTCTCTCTCTCTCTCTCTCTCTCTCTCTCTCTCTCTCTCTCTCTCTCGTTCTCTCTCTCTCTCTCGTTCTCTCTCTCTCCCTCTCTCTCTCTCTCTCTCTCTCTCTCTCTCTCTCTCTCTCTCTCTCTCTCTATCTCCCTCTCTCTCTCTCTCTCTCCCTCTCTTTCTCTCCCTCTCTCTCTCTCTCTCTCTCTCTCTCTCTCTCTCTCTCTCTCTCTCTCTCTCTCTCTCTCTCTCTCCCAACTTCTGCCATTTCTTTTTGTGTCAGCCCATGGCAAGGTTGTTTGCCCTTTGGTTCTTCGTATTATTGTTAGGATATTGAGTTTGTCGAAGCTTCAATTGCCTCCCTCAAAAAACCTCCTTGAGGCGTGGGGTGAGAAAACTGAAGAGCAACCAGGAGATCCTTGAGTAAGGCTTCTCTTCACTCTCACAACAAAAATGCACAACAAAAAAATATAATTAGAAAGAGCAACTCCATAGAGCTTATCAAGAACTTCTAGGCAAGTGCCCTTAGACCCTCAATGGTCTATACCCCTTAAAAGCGTTTTCACAACAAAACTAAAATGGGAGAAGATCAACTTCATGATGCTCTAGAGAGCTTCTAGGCAAACGCCTTAGACCCCAAATGGTCTTTCCCCTAAGGGCTAGCCAACCGGCAATAAAAAACAGCCCAAGGGCACGGCCAATAGCCTTCGTGCGGTTAAGCGCCCCGTCGAGTTTAAACCACCGGCGCGGGTCCGTGAGGACCGTGCCCACCAGCAGGGCATGTGTTGGCAGTGTGGCCCGGCTGGCCACAGCGGAAACAAGTGCCGCGGAAGCCCCTTGCATTTCAGCCAGGGGCCGTGCCGAATTTGCCACCAAACGCCGTGGGGCCTCGGCCTCCAAGGGAAGAACCGCGACCATAGGAGCCTTGGGCGCGGTTCATCGCTGCCACATCCGCGAGCGTCTGCTTGAAGGGGCGCGAAGTCAGCACACTATTCTGCTGGTACAGCTTGAAGCGGTGCGCTGTCTTGAAGTCGGAGGCGTCGGCGACTTGAAGGAGTTGGAAGCGATCGGCGATGAGCGCGAACGCCTCTTCGAAGTGCTCGAGAGCGTCAGCGTGTCGCCGTGGCGTATCTTGTGCTCCAAGTGCTTCAGGTACGCACGCAGGTCCTCCAGAAATTACGCTTGCCCGCGTACTCCGGCGTGGTGAAATGAGGAGGCGGGAATGGTGGGATTGGTGGAGGGGAGTGGAGGAAGGTGCTCAACGGGTGCAAGAAAGTTGTTGTGTGCATGAGCCTCACCCGCTTCGTCTTCTGAGTCGCTACCGTCGTTGTTGATGGCCACCGCAGCAGCAGCATTTTCCCTTTCGGCGCGAGGGACTTCGGGTGCACGAGCGTGACGCGCCAAATCGTTTTTTGCATTTGCATTTTTAGCAGGAAATTGTTGTCGCTGTAGCCGTAACTGCCGGCGACTTCTGCTGTAACAGCACCAAAAGCGCTTGGACCTGGTCGTTGGTCAATGTCAGAGTCGATGCAGGGTCAACCGTCGCGTCAGACGAAGACCCAAGTCGGCGCCTCTGGCGCTGACGCGACGGTCCAGCCACAGGTGCTAGCGCGTGCCCAGCGTCAGGCGCGTGTGGCGCCACAGGTGCTGCAGGTGCCTCCGTCGCCACTTGCGCCACAGGCGCCACTGGCGCCACAGGTGTCGAGGGGTGCTGCTGGTTGGCGTTTTTGTTGACCTCGCCACTACGCAGCAACAAATCGACGCCAGTGGGTGCGACATCTTCGTCTTCAGCCCGTCGCTTGTTGCCGCGATCGCCCGAAATTTCACGGGCGTTCTTCTCGTTGTCCGAACGGTTCGGGGCGTTGCCGTGAGAAGACTCGCCACGATTAAGCGGAGTGTTCGGCGCCATTGAAGCCTGGTTGTGGTTAAGAATGTCCGACAGAAGCGTGGAAGGAGATTGAAAGCGAGGAAGGGTTTTCACCCTCGCCATGTTGAAGTCCGAAAAAATCGGGGGGGACTGGAACCTCCGAAAAAATCGGGATGGGTCTCGGAACCGGGAATTGAACTTGAGCGATTGTAAAAATGAGAGACGTGGGTGGGGGAAGAATGACCCCAGCCCACATTATATATTCGGAGAAGGCGAATACCGCGCTTCGACGATGCGCGAATTTGCGTTACAGTCAGCTTCGCTTTCACAATACGCAAATTTGAAAGCGATAAACGCTTAGAAATTTTTCATTTCATCTTTTACAGTTCGTAACAAATGGGATGGCAGCAGAGAGTACAATAGAATGGCAGCCATTAGAGTCGACGAATGGCAGCAGTGAGGACCCAGAAATGGCAGCACATAGTGAAATACAACGTATGCAGTGTGTGAAATACAATGGCCACAGAGATTTACATGCATAGGCAGCAGTAAGAGTAATAAAACGGCTGCAGTGAGCGTAATGGAATGGCAGGAGTGAGTGAACTGTGATGGCAGGAGTGAGAATAATGTGTGTGTGGGGGGGGGGGGGGGGGGGGGGGGGGGGGGGTGCGCGCGTGTGCACGCGCACGCGTGTGTGTGTTTATGAGTGCGTGTGTGTGTGTATGTGTGTGTGTATATGTGTGTGTGTATATGTGTGTGTGTGTGTGCGCGCGCGCGTGTCTGTGTCTGTGCGTGCGCGTTTTTTTTAGGTGAACATTAGTATACAATGCAAAACACCATCTCTCGTTACCGGATCATTTTCTCTGGTCCACTACGAATCAACACCCACCTACCTTGTACTTGCCCTCATAACCAGCCTCTTGTTACAAACCTGGTGTAGTTATCAGTAGTTTCAAGAAGCATGCACCGTGGAGTCATCCAAGTCCAGCGCAATCTCCAAGGTGCCATGTCACTCACACTCGTGCAGGAACCTACCGCACCGCACTGGATTCCCCCTCAATTCCCATCGGCCTCTGATCCATCCAGCAGCATCACATTTCTCTCATTTCTCATTTCGTTTCTACGTTCACCACCGTCACACCGCGACCTGCTCTATCAAGACTCTGCGTCAACCATCGCTCATCGGCCATTGCCCACCATCTCTCTGTCCCTCATTTCCTGCTCCATGATGGCGTGTCTTTCCACTAGCGTCGTGTCCTCGTCCGCGAATCCCCTGTCAGCGTCACTCAAATGCTCCGAATCCTCTTCCCATCGATCAACCCTAGGCGACGTCGGGCTGAGGCCGTCTCTCCCCGTGATCCGCCGTGGCGGAAGGATTTGCGGAGCGGCGAAGGGCGGAAGGGGAGCAGTGTGCGTGGTAGCTTCCGGCGGAAACGGGGCGGCGCGGACGGCGGATGAGGTGGAAACGGGGGAGGGAACGGGCAGCTTTGACGTGAGCAGCACGTGCGTGAATCCCGTGTTCCGCTCATTCCCCAGCCTCAAGGTACGTACCGCCTTCCGCGGATGAGACGATTGCGCTGCGTGTTTCCATTTCCGCGTGCCGCGCCCCGTTCCCCTGCACACTGTCGTCTATGTTGGCCACTGAGGCATTTGAAAAGTCGTCATTTGTACTGCGTGGCGATCCGATCCGACTTCTATCCGCTTTCCGCCCCCTTTCGTTACCCTTCCGTTCCCCCTCCGTCCCCATTCCATCCACCTTCCGTCCCCATTCCATGACATCCACGCTGGGCTATTCAGCACCGTACATTTGCCCTTCTCTCATTGGTTCTTGCTGAGCCGCTAGCAGTGTGGTGGGTCAACGCACCCACAACCTCCCACTGCCTCACTTCCCCACGTTCTCTCTCTCTCTCCCCCTCTCCATGTGCCTATTCCCTGCTCCCCACTCCTCCGACCCGCCCTCCCCTCCCCCATCTTCCCAACGCCCCCCTTCTGCAGGAAGGCGACGGCAACGCGGACGGGCCGGGCGGGCGGGCGGTGCGCGTGCTGTTTCTGAGCGAGGGCAACGTGTGCCGCAGCGTGGTGGCGGAGGCGGTGCTGACGGCCATGGTCAGGGACAAGGGGCTCGAAGATTACATCGTCTGCTCCTCCAAGGTGCGCGCGGAGGGGGAGTGCGCGCGCTGGGGGTGATCGAGCTGGGGGGTGCGGGGGTAGGGGGAAAAGGGGCGGGGAGGGGTGGTGGGGGGTTTGGGGTGGTCGGGGGAGGGGAGGGTAATTCGATGCGCCAGTTTGGTCACGCGCCTCGGGAATGTCGCAGCGTGGTGGCGGAGGCGGTGCTGACGGCCATGGTGAGGATTCAGGGGCAAGGGGCTGGAAGACCACGTTCTCTGCTCCTCCAAGGTGCGCTCGGGGGGGGTGACGATGACGGATGATAATGCTGGGGGAGTTGCGGGGGGTGGGGGGGAGCGGGGGGGAGGAGGGGAGGGGGGAGGAAGGGTATTCTAATGCGCCTCGAGATTGTGGTGCACATGATAGCTGCCATGGTGAGTATCGAACCGTCAGAAGAGCCTCAGAATAGCCTAGGCGCCTCAATTCTCCCTCCGCCATGCCCCACGGTTGTGATGTGGTTGGTTGGCAGGCAGTGCGCGACTACAACGTGGGCGAGAGCCCGGACTCGCGGGTGGTGCAGCTGGCGGGGCAGAGCGGCGTGGCGGTGGACGCTGCCCGGCATTCCGCGCTGCTGCGCCCCGCCGAGGATGTTGTGGCGCACGACCTGCTGGTCGTCATGGACAAGGTGCGGTGCGGATGGGTGGAATGTGGTGTGGGTTGTTGCAGTGCAGTTGAGCTTGGTTTGAGTGAGGTGTGTGGGGTCAGGGGTTGTGTGCTGTGCGATGGGAAGGAGGTGCGATGGGGGAAGTGGGACGCATTGAGGCTGAAGCATTTTGTGGGGAGTAACTCAATCGTCACCTGGATGGGAAGGAAGGAGAGGTGATGGTGGAAGTGGTATTATTGAAGGCTGAAGCATCTTGTGGGGGGTTCATCCGAGAGGAAATGCGTGGTGTTCTGTGCATGCAGAGCGGATTGGCATGAAAGCCAGGAGTGTGAACGGCTGAGGCTGTTACTGGGTGTGGCTTGCACAGAACATGCATGTATGTGTGTGGCGATGATAACTGTGGCAAAACATGAGAAAGGTTCAATTTCGACCAGCATCACCATGCCTCGTGCCCCTCCGTGTCCCCCCCTCCCCCCCGCCCTTGCGCAGTTCAACGCAGCGGATGTGCTGAAGGAGGTGTCGGTGTTTGACACCATCGACCCCACTGCGCGCTTCTCCTCCAAAGTGCGCCGCATGGGCGACTTCTGCAAGTCCAGAACCGTCAGTGCCTCCTTCTCTCCTCCCCTTGCTCCTTCTCACGACAGAGTGGTTCATGCAGCTGTGCTGATGGTGTCATTGTTCCGTGCATTACCTCTCTCTTCTGTGCTCACTCTCAACCTCTGTCTCTCTCTCTGTCTCTTTCTCACGCATGCACACACGCACTTGCACAGATGCACACACGTGCATGCACACGCACACACACAAGCCCTCCACACCCCCTCCCGCCCTCCCCCCTCCCACTCACAATTTCTTACTGCCTTCCTCACCACGCTCATTCACCATCGCTCATCGCGCCCTCCTCACCCGCCACCCGCATCTGTGCAGGTGGATGACATAGACGACCCGCTGTACGGCAACATGGGCGGGCCCGAGGAGCTGGTACGCCCTCCCATGCTGCACACCTGCACACCCCACACCCACACTCCTCTCTCCTTGCTCACTGTCACTGCCTGTGCCCCTCCCGTGCTCAACCATGTGCTCGCGCGCTATGCCTCCATGCATACACCATACACCTCCCCAGCTCACCCGTGACTCTGCTCTGTCGTGTGTCTTGTGTGCCTCTTCTCTTCTCAACCGCCCAGCCTCCTGTGTGCTTTGTCACCTCCCTGCTTCTCAACGGCTGCCCCTCCCGGTGCTCACATCTCACATCCCTGTCACGCATATTCCGTTGTTTATTAGGCACCTCAGAGACAGGCTGCTCACTTCCCGTTTGTCCATCTCTATACCCACACCTCCCTACGTCACTCCTATTCCCACTTCATCTTGCCTTTCCGACCCCACTCTCCTCCCTCCCCTCTCATCATTCCCCTGCTGCAACACCCCCACCCCCTCCACCCCAAACACCCGTGTGTGTGCATGGAGCACAGGAGCTGTTGGGGGCAGCCATCAACGACATAGTGGACTGCTGTGACGGGCTGCTCACAGACCTCATTGCCATCCGCGCTGGCCTCGCAGGTGGGCTCGGCTGCTGTGGGCCATGGGGTGGGGCATCAGGGGGGTTGGGTTATGGATTGGGGTTGCGTTGCGTTCCCACACGTCTGTGTTCTCGTTCCAGTGGCAGCTGTTACCTTGGATATTGGTGCATGCATGTTTCTCGTCTGCTCACTGTGCGCTAGTTTGTACTCCCTTGTGCTGTGTCGTCCTTCAGAGGGGGAGAGCTTCCGGTCGGCAGTGAACAAGTGGCTACAAGGAATGGATGACATGGACTGGCTTGTCCCCCCCATGCTGCAAAAGAAGAACCGCAACTGATATGCAATTTGGCACTTTTGAAGTCTGTACACGACTTTGTAGCTTGGCTGTCAGTTATAATTATGTCCATTTATTTTAGAAGGCTGCTATGTCAGTAGCAAAGTGCAAACTTGGCCAAGACTGAAAGTGGTGGAAACAGTCCCTCAGCACAGAATTTGTGCAAGCAACAACTACGGTATTGGGGCAGGGCTGACGTTTCATTTTAAGCCTCCCTGATTCCGGGGAAAATTTCCCCTGTGTATTATGGGTGCATATTTTCCACAGGTAGGCTACTCTGATTACTCAGTGTTGAGAAGTAGTTAAAGCTCGCGTCTCCAATTACACCCTTCCATCCAAGTGTTAAACGCTTGATATAGGGTAACAGACTGCTTTGTCGCAAAGTACACCCAGGCAAGGGTTGAGAGTCGGGCAAGTGTGGGTGGGGTGGTTTGGGTTTGCAACGTGCACTGTAATTGGGTGAGCAAATACGCCAAAGCAGGTTGGGTTGGCAAACTCACCTGCGCGACAAACAAAGCTGAGAATGCGCTCATCGTGCGACAACGGGACCGTCGCCCTCTCGTCCCTGCAAACCAAGCGTTTTACACAGCTCAGAAATATGAGACTGGGAACTCGTCAATATCTCAAAAGGCACTCTGCACCAAGTGTTTTACCTCCCTGGACACATGTCCCCGACTGGAGCACGACGAACGCAAAGTGGTTAGAAAGCCTCACCCAAAACCTCGATGCCCCACACTTCGTATGCCCATCACGACCTACACTGCTACAATCTCATTCGCATTCGACAAAAACGCTACCTGTCATAGACTATAGACCGCCATCTCTATCCCTAGACAATCCACAGCCCACGCCGCGCTGCCCCGAACCGGCTTTCATCGCCCAAACGCCCGACCCTTGATTAGGTGAGCCTAATCAATTTGCGGGAGATTACCCCGCCAGAAATGTGGGCCCCTAGAATCGCGTCGACATCGTAGGCCCGCGCAGTACGAGGCCCTTACGAGCACTAAGTGAACGGCTGTAGTGTAATAAGTGGCCTTACACGGCCTAATGAGAGGCGTTTTGAGCGGCGTAACGGGGGGCGAAACTAAATACGGAGTAAGGAGAGGCGCAATGAGAGGCAGAATTAGACTTGGCGTGAGAGGCGGAATGAGCGGCGGAATGAGAGACGCACTGAGAGGCGGTGTGAAGTGCGGAAGCAGGGGCGGAATTATAGGCGGAATAAGAGGCGGAATGTGAGGCGGAATGAGAGGCGGAAAAAGAGGCGGAACGAGAGGCGGAATGAGAGGCGGAACGAGAGGCGGAACGAGAGGCGGCGTGAGAGGCGGGATGAGAGGCGGATTGAGAGGCGGGATGAGGCGAATAGATAGGCGTAATGAGAGGCGTAATGAGAGGCGTAATGAGGGGCGGAAAGAAACCCGGAATGAGAGGCGACGCGAGAGGCGGAGTGAGATGCGGAAGGAGGGGCGGAATGAGAGGCGGAAGGAGAGGCGGCTTGAGATGCGGAATGAGAGGCGGAACGGGGAAGGGAGGAGCAGCGAGAGGGGGAAGGTAGGAGGTGCGAGAGGGGGAAGGGAGCTGCTGTGGGTGGGGGAAGGGAGGAGCTGTGAGAGGGGGAAGGGACGAGCTGTGATATGGGGAATGGAGATGCTGTGTGTGGGAAGTGAGGAGCTGTGAGAGGGGGAAGGGAGATGATGTGGGTGGGGGAAGGGAGGAGCTGTGAGAGGGGGAAGGGAGGAGCTGTGAGAGGGGGAAGGGAGATGCTGTGGGTGGGGGAAGGGAGATGCTGTGGGTGGGGGAAGGTAGGAGCTGTGAGAGGGGGAAGGGAGGAGCTGTGATAGGGGGAAGGGAGATGATGTGGGTGGGGGAAGGGAGGAGCTGTGAGAGGGGGAAGGGAGGAGCTGTGATAGGGGGAAGGGAGATGCTGTGGGTGGGGGAAGGGAGATGCTGTGAGATGGGGAAGGGAGGAGCTGTGAGAGGGGGAAGGGAGATGCTGTGGGTGGGGGAAGGGAGATGCTGTGGGTGGGGGAAGGGAGGAGCTGTGAGAGGGGGAAGGGAGGAGCTGTGATAGGGGGAAGGGAGATGATGTGGGTGGGGGAAGGGAGGAGCTGTGAGAGGGGGAAGGTAGGAGCTGTGATAGGGGGAAGGGAGATGCTGTGGGTGGGGGAAGGGAGATGCTGTGGGTGGGGGAAGGTAGGAGCTGTGAGAGGGGGAAGGGAGGAGCTGTGAGAGGGGGAAGGGAGATGATGTGGGTGGGGGAAGGGAGGAGCTGTGAGAGGGGGAAGGGAGATGCTGTGGGTGGGGGAAGGGAGGAGCTGTGAGAGGGGGAAGGGAGGAGCTGTGATAGGGGGAAGGGAGATGCTGTGGGTGGGGGAAGGGAGATGCTGTGAGATGGGGAAGGGAGGAGCTGTGAGAGGGGGAAGGGAGATGCTGTGGGTGGGGGAAGGGAGATGCTGTGGGTGGGGGAAGGGAGGAGCTGTGAGAGGGGGAAGGGAGGAGCTGTGATAGGGGGAAGGGAGATGATGTGGGTGGGGGAAGGGAGGAGCTGTGAGAGGGGGAAGGTAGGAGCTGTGATAGGGGGAAGGGAGATGCTGTGGGTGGGGGAAGGGAGATGCTGTGGGTGGGGGAAGGTAGGAGCTGTGAGAGGGGGAAGGGAGGAGCTGTGAGAGGGGGAAGGGAGATGATGTGGGTGGGGGAAGGGAGGAGCTGTGAGAGGGGGAAGGGAGGAGCTGTGATAGGGGGAAGGGAGATGCTGTGGGTGGGGGAAGGTATGAGCTGTGAGAGGGGGAAGGGAGGAGCTGTGAGAGGGGGAAGGGAGGAGCTGTGATAGGGGGAAGGGAGATGATGTGGGTGGGGGAAGGGAGGAGCTGTGAGAGGGGGAAGGGAGGAGCTGTGATAGGGGGAAGGGAGATGCTGTGGGTGGGGGAAGGTATGAGCTGTGAGAGGGGGAAGGGAGGAGCTGTGATAGGGGGAAGGGAGGAGCTGTGATAGGGGGAAGGGAGATGCTGTGGGTGGGGGAAGGTAGGAGATGTGAGAGGGGGAAGGGAGGAGCTGTGATAGGGGGAAGGGAGATGATGTGGGTGGGGGAAGGGAGGAGCTGTGAGAGGGGGAAGGGAGGAGCTGTGAGAGGGGGAAGGGAGATGCTGTGGGTGGGGGAAGGGAGATGCTGTGGGTGGGGGAAGGTAGGAGCTGTGAGAGGGGGAAGGGAGGAGAGGACAGAGGTGGGGAGAAGGTGCACTGAGAGGGGGAAGGAGGAGAGGACAGAGGTCCTGTGAGAGGGGGGAGGGAAGGTGCTTAGCGATAGCACCGGGTGTGAACTTGTGGTGAGGCATACGCACGAATGCTCTCCATCCTTCCTGTCTCCGTACCCACCTCCTCACTCCCCTATCCCTTTCCCGCGCCTGGACCCGTTCCCGCTCCTCCCAAACCATTCCCCCATTGGGGGGAATAATATCCCATTCTTATTTTCCACTGCTCCCTCTCATCCCCCCCCTAGTGTCCCATCATTTTCCCCTGGAGTCCCTCTCATTTCACCCTTTGTTACCCCTAATTTTCCCTATGGGAGGGAGGTGCTGTCAGAAGGGGAGGTAGGTGAGCAGGTAGGGTGAAGATACGTGATGATGGAGGGGGGAGGGACATGAGGTGAGAGGGTGGAGGGAGGGGAGGTGAGTGGTGGAAGATAGGTGAGGAAGGGGGAAGGGTGGTGAGGTCAGAGGGGGGATGGGATGTGAGGGTAGGGGGAAATGAAGGTGAGTTCAGAGGGGGGAAGGGAGGTGCTGAGAGACGGGAGAGAAGGTGTTGGGAGGGGGGCAAGAGGTGCTGTCAGAGGGGGAAAGAGGTGATTTGAGAGGGGGGAGTTAAGTGCATAGGGAGGGGGAAAGGACTTGATTTCATATGGGGAATGTAGGCAAACAGGGGAGGGGAAAAGGAAGGTGAGGTCAAAAGGGGGGAATGAAGGTGCGTGGAGAGGGAAAAGAGGGTGCGGGCAGTGGGTTAGGAGGTGATGGGTGAGTTGGAAGGGGGGTGCGGTGCGGTCAGAGGGGCAAGATAAGTGCACGAATAAAGAGGAAAGGAGTTGAGGCACGCGGGGTAGAGGGTTAGTGGTGACGCTGGCAGGGGGGGAAGAGGTGATGTGAGAGGGGAACAGAGGTGCTTAGGGAGGGGGGTCTGGGGGTGGGAAGGGTGGTGCTGGCTGGGGCAATGCAACGATGTGAAATGCGGGCTGGGGCGGTGCAACGATGTGAGATGGGGATGAGATGTGCTTAGAGAGGGGGAAGCGAGGTACTGTCATAGTGGGAAGGGAGGTGAGGACAGAGGGAGAAGGGAGGTACAGTGACAGGGGGAAGGTTGAGAGGACAGAGGGGGGATGGTAGTGCAGTGAGTGTCGGAGTGGAGGTGCTGAGAGAGGGGTAAGTGAGGTGCTGATAGAGGGGAACGAGAGGTGCTGATAGAGGGGAACTAGAGGTGCTGATAGAGGGGAACGAGGTGCTGATAGAGGGGAACGAGAGGTGCTGATAGATGGGGGAGGGGGGTGCTGACCTCCGAGACATAGGCGGTGTCGGAGAGGGGAAGCGAGGTTCTGACTGGGGGGAATGCAACGATGGGAGAGGGGGAAGAAAGGTGCCTAGGGAGGGGGAAGGGAGGTGAGGTGAGAGGGGTGAGGGAGGTTCTGTGAGAGGGGGAAGGGCGGTGATGTGAGAGGGGGAAGGGAGTGGCTGGCCGGGAGGAGTTAGGCGGTGACCGAGGGGGGAAGGCCGGTGAGGGGGAACCGAGGCGGGAAGGGAGGTTTAGGCTGGGGGGAAAGTGGTGACATGATAGGAGGTAAATTGGTGGTTATGGGTGTATAGTCCGAGGTGGGATTTGGGTGGTGACTGGGTACTTCTAGGGGCGGTGACATCTGTCGTGAGTAACGGCACAACCTAACGCGCATGTCCTTTTATTGTGCCTCTGCAACCCGTCACCATCCCATCAGGCCTTTCACCACAACTCCATTCCGACTGGTGGCTTTCGACTGACGGACATTTGCGCATCGTGTCGTAATGGCACCAAGGTGAGTGGTACGGGTTGTGTGAGGTTGCGTGTAGCACAAAAGCCATACACCAGCATATGTAATGGACATGTGCTCGTAATGGCAGGCGATCCAAGAACAAGGGAGAGACTTTGCAGCAGCAGCTCAAAAACATTATGGGGGGTGTCAAGCAAAAGCCAGTGGGGCTTGGGAAACACACTGTCCTGCCCGTAACCATTATGCGCTGCGGTTTATCGGCACTGATGGGGAGGGAGGCATCGTTCAACGACGTGCTGCACGTCCTCATGGTTTCGGCCTGGGATGTCGTTGTGAAGCTAATAAATGCAACAACTGATACTTGTAAGTGGCACCTTGGAACAATTGTGCATGGATCAAAACCAGCTAACACTTGCAAACAACCCACTAACATGCCCAAACCACGCCGTTTATGGTAGGTGGGAATGGCGACATGGTGAAAGAACAGGTAAAGTTACAATTGGAAGCACAGCGAGCAAGCTTCCTCGTGAGCCAACTGGGGGAAAAGGCGGACGAGGCGCATCTGCTCCAGAGGATGCCGAAGTCATTGGACGGCTTCGTTTATGAGTTCGATACATACCATCTCAACAAGGAGGGTGTGCTTGAGCCGGATAATGGACGTGGCCACGGAGGTGACCGTCGCGGACCGGCATATCAAGCACTAAACAATGCTGGTATGTCCATGTCACGGGGTGTTGTACACACCATTTCTTGAGACGTTTCGCTGGCATACTGTCGCGCTTTCTGTTTTGTTCAATTTGTCGCACGTCACCCTGCATCTATATGCACTGGTCGAAAGACGTGCGACTGGTCTTATCCATGTTGTGTGTCTCACAACACGCAATGACCCCCTGTTTGTAGGGGATTACTTCGAAATCCAATTATTTTCCCGTGCCCTTATACCCATTTACCCATATGCCACGTATGGTCATTAAACTGCAGTTGCAAGAGGAGATCATGATATGAGTGGCAACGGAGGATCACCCGTTACGGATTCGCCACCCGTGGGATGTGAGACTGCTGTGGCGGAGTTTGCCCCGGTGGACGATGAGGGGCATGTGGAAGAGGGGAGAGAGTTGGGAGAGGGGGATGGCCCCGTTGATGATGGGCAAGAGGAGGGGGAAGGTGCTGGAAGGGCATCCGTGCCAGATCGCCCGAGCGATGGGGCAACTGCATCTACTCCTGCAATCCGGCCCCAACCTGATGGGTAAGTGCGCCTATGTAGAGTCGATGGGTGTGTGGCCTCCTTCAAAAGCTTCCCAAGCTTGACTTGGTATAATGCTAGCAACTTCATCCATTCAATAAACACTCATCGAATCTACACATCATCCGTTGATAAACATCCCTAGCCAGCTGAGTTTGTGGCCTCTACCCTAAACTTTCCAAAATTGTGATGGCATTTCCAATTCGACCCCACCACAGCTTATCAGCGGGCCGTGCAGGAGCACCTCTCCGAAGGGCTCTCGCTCGATCATGGCCTCTGTCGGCCAACGCTGCTGCAACTAGCCTCAAAGGGGCGGTATGTCTGTTAGACCCCATTGTATTGCTACAATTCTTCATGAGTCTGGGAGTGGTCTGCTGTCAGGCGACCGCGTGTAAGGGTTCGTTGGTCGTGCGATCGTGTAAGATGGCGTGGGCGACGTTGGGGGTCTTGTGGGTCTGTGATACGTGTGGAAAGTCTATACAGTTTTGGTCTACTGAAAGGGGCAAAGTCACCAGGGGTGTAGGCAAACAGGGCCCAAAGACCTCCTTACTATTTCCGCGGTGGTTGGGGGCATTTGTTATGGCGGGAATAGGCTTCCAGCAGCTGTCGGAGGTTAGTCGGACCCTTGGGTTTAAGTCTATCGGGAAAGAGACCTTCTATCGTTACATGCGACAGCCGTACGGTTTGTGGGAGGCTATCATCGTCCACGGGGAAGAGAGCATGGCTAGAGCCCGTGCAGACATGCAGTTGCGCAAAGAGGGGGACGGGTACATTTGCGTGGATGGGCGTTGGTCACAGGCAAGGGAGGCGCAGTGGTGCACTGTCACTTTCATGGATCCACGCCCACCGGGGGGCTGCGCATGGTGAAGTCAATCTCACTAGGGATTGTCCAAGACGTGAACCAGTCTACATCTGCCTGGCTACACCCCACGTAACCTTCATCTGAAAGCTCTGGGTAAAGTGACCCTATGAGTACGTACACAAGCCATGGCAATGTAACGTGTGCAAACGGGTGGTCTCCTAACAGTTTGGAGTTCTCGACGTAGCAACGGAAACGGTGGTTTTTTGCTACTATTGGTTGCCCATCTGCATCCTCCAGCGTGTTCTTTCCAAGACAGATATGCAGGACACTCTCAACAGTAACCCTCTCGTCCGTATCACCACTTTCCTGCCCCAGACCGAGCTCGTTTATGGCCCACTGTTCAAGCACAGAGCTTTGCTTTGGACATTCGATGGCAAACTCAGACAGGGACCAACGTTCCTTAGGATAAAAAAGCTGTGGCGGCAACCCAGTTGGCTGTACAACCCTACGTCGGGTCACCCTTTCAACGGGCCGCCAACTGCTGGCAACTACCGAGCGACCAGGTACACCATTGTTGTTCCTTGCGGTTCGGGATGGGACGGAAGAGGTTGATCCCGCCTGTCCCTCCATACCCTCCTCGTCATCCTCCTCTCCTTCAACTCCCATCCTGAACCCCAGCCGGATCCGACGACGCCGTCGAGAATCCCACCGATACATCTTCCTTGGACCAAGAGACGAGGACATAGGACGGGGCAGAGGTAGGTATGACTGGGCGTTATGTTGGGAAGAGAGCGGGGAAGGGAGGTGATCGAAGAGGATGGCGGGATGGGAGATTGGGGGACGGGGGTAAGGTCCTACTGACCTTACCTCTCTCCCCCCACTGACCTTACCTCCCTCCCCCATCTGACCTCTCCTCCCTCCCCCATCTGACCTTACGACCCTCCCCCATCCTACCTTACCTCCCTCCCCCATCTGACCTAACCTCCTTCCCCCCACTGACCTTACCTCCCTCCCCCATCTGACCTCACCTCCCTCCCCCATCTGACCTAACCTCTCTCCCCCATCTGACCTTACCTCTCTCCCCCCACTGACCTTACCTCCCTCCCCCATCTGACCTTACCTCCCTCCCCCATCTGACCTTACCTCCCTCCCCCATCCTGCTTTACCTCCCTCCCCCGTACTGACCTAACCTCCTTCTCCGCGCTGACCTTACCTCCCTCCCCCATCTGACCTTACCTCCTTCCCCCCACTGACCTTACCTCCCTCCCCCATCTGGCCTCACCTCCCTCCCCCATCCTACCTTACCTCCCTCCCCCAACTGACCTAACCTCCTTCCCCCATTCGACCTCACCTCCCTCCCCCATCTGACCTTACCTCCCTCCCCCATCTGACCTAACCTCCTTCCCCCCACTGACCTTACCTCCCTCCCCCATTCGACCTTACCTCCTTCCCCCATCTGACCTTACCTCCTTCCCCCCACTGACCTTACCTCCCTCCCCCATCTGACCTCTCCTCCCTCCCCCATCTGACCTTACGACCCTCCCCCATCCTACCTTACCTCCCTCCCCCATCTGACCTAACCTCCTTCCCCCCACTGACCTTACCTCCCTCCCCCACTGACCTTACCTCCCTCCCCCATCTGACCTAACCTCCTTCCCCCCACTGACCTTACCTCCCTCCCCCACTGACCTTACCTCCCTCCCCCATCTGACTTTACCTCCCTACACCATCTGTCCTTACCTCCTTCCCTACACTGACGTATACCTCCCTCCCCCCTCTGACCTCACCTCCCTCCCCCATCTGACCTTACCTCCCTTCCCCCCACTGACCTCACCTCCCTCCCCCCTCTGTCCTCACCTCCCTCCCCCCTCTGACCTTACCTCCTTCCCCCCTCTGACCTTACCTCCCTCCCCCCTCTGACCTTACCTCCCTCCCCCCTCTGACCTCACCTCCTTCCCCCCACTGACCTCACCTCCCTCCCCCCTCTGACCTTACCTCCCTCCCCCCTCTGACCTCACCTCCTTCCCCCCACTGACCTCACCTCCCTCTCCCCTCTGACCTTACCTCCCTCCCCCATCTGACCTTACCTCCTTCCCCCCACTGACCTCACCTCCCTCCCCCCTCTGACCTTACCTCCCTCCCCCCTCTGACCTTACCTCCTTCCCCCCTCTGACCTTACCTCCCTCCACCCACTGACCATACCTCCCTCCCCCATCTGACCTCACCTCCCTCCACCCTCTGCCCTCACCTTCCATTCCCCCCTCTGGCCTCACATCACTCCCCAATCTGACCTTGCCTCCCTCCCACCTCTGACCTTACCTACCTCCTGCCTCTGACCTCACATCCCTCCCCCCTCTGATCTCACATCCCTCCCCCCTCTGACGTTACCTCCATCCCCCCTCTGACCCCACCTCCCTTTCCCATCTGACCTCACGTCCCTTCCCCCCCTGACCTTACAGCCCTCCCCCCTCTGACATCACCTCCCTTCCCCCACGGAACCACCCTCCCTCCCCCTTATGGCATAACCTCCCTTCCCCCTCTGACCTTACCTCCATTCCCCATCTGACCTCACCTCCCTTCCCCATCTGACTTCACCTCCCTTCCCCCACTGAACTCACCTCCCTTCCCCCTATAGCATAACCTCCCTCCCCCCCCCCCCGTCCTGACATCCCTCCCCCCTCTGACCTCACCTCCTTTTCCCCCCCGACCTTACAACCCTCCCCCCTCTCACCTCACCTCCGTTCCTTTCCTCACCTCCATTCCCCCTATAGCACCACCTCCATTCCCCCACTCACCACTCCTCCTTTCCCCTTACAGCAATATATCTCTTCCCACATGAGCGCAACGTCCGTCCCCGTTATTGGACAACAGCTCGTTCCGTGGTCTTCTCCTACCCTATACCCCTCTCGCGCCGCCTCACAAAACCTCCTCCCATTCCGCCATCTACCGCCTTTCCGCCTCCCATTCTGTCGTAACGTGTTTTTCGTTCTCGATTTCAGTATGCCTTTCCGCCTCGCCCAACCTTACATGTAAAGCCATCTCATTCCTCCCGGACCCGCCATTTTGCATCTCATTCTGGTCTATACCGCCTTTCCCCCTCCCATTCCGCCCTCTATTGCCATTCCACCCCCCCATTCCGCCCTCTACCGCCTGTCCGCCTCCCATGCCGCCTCCCATTCCGCCCGCTACCGCCTTTCCCCCTCCCTTTCTGCCCTCGCATGTCATCCCGACTCGCCTACTTCCAAGGGCTGCCTTTCAGCCCAGCAAAACCCCCCTCTCTCGCCACTCCGCTTCCCATTCCGCACTATGACGCCATTTCACCCGTCATTCCGCCCTCTTCCACCATCTCCCCCTCCCATTCCGCCCTCTATCGCCTTTCCGCCCGCCATTCCGCCCTCTATCGCCTTTCCGCCCGTCATTCCGCCCTCTATCGCCTTTCCGCCCGCCATTCCGCCCTCTATCGCCTTTCCGCCCGTCATTCCGCCCTCTATCGCCTTTCCGCCCGCCATTCCGCCCTCTATCGCCTTTCCGCCCGTCATTCCGCCCTCTATCGCCTTTCCGCCCGCCATTCCGCCCTCTATCGCCTTTCCGCCCGTCATTCCGCCCTCTATCGCCTTTCCGCCCGTCATTCCGCCCTCTATCGCCTTTCCGCCCGTCATTCCGCCCTCTATCGCCTTTCCGCCCGTCATTCCGCCCTCTATCGCCTTTCCGCCCGTCATTCCGCCCTCTATCGCCTTTCCGCCCGTCATTCCGCCCTCTATCGCCTTTCCGCCCGTCATTCCGCCCTCTATCGCCTTTCCGCCCGTCATTCCGAGTTCACACTGCACATCCCTTCTCCCATGCCGCCATTCATCCACTCCTTCCGCACCTCCCTACTATAATCCGCCATTCATCATCTCATTTCGCCGTTCATCTACTGGTTCTAGCCGTTCAAGGTCTTTTTCTGCCGTTCACCCTCTAGTTACACCGGTCCTACTCTCATTCCACTAAGCCCTTCTCTTTTTTCGCCGTCCCTTTTCTCATTCCGCCGTTCCTACTCTCATTCCGCCGTTGCTACGACGGTTTCGCGCTCCCTATTGTCATTCCGCCCTTCATCCTCCCTTTCCTCCCTTTTTCTTCCCATTCAACCCGTATACACATATTTCCGCCCGTCATGCGGGACCATTCCGCCTCTCTGACTCGCGTTCCGCCGTCGTCATCTCATTTCGCCCTTTATATTTTCGTTCCGCACTTGACGCTCTCATATCGCAATTACTTATCGCATTCCGCTCTTTCGCCCCTCATTCCGCCCATCCTTACTCTTACCTCGCCTATCCCTAACCTATCTCTGCTCGTCCCTAATAATAGCGTGCTCTCGAATGCATACCTTGTTTCTGTGGCGGTTGGGAAGGTGCTCAGTGACGGGACCCTAGAATTGGTTGAGTTTGCACTCTGTTTGAGACACTTCAGTTTTGTTTTCGTGCGACATGCTGTAGTCGTCGAGGTGGGTCGTTCAGGGCTTGATCTGGGCGAACCCTGTCCCCTTAGGCTCGTCCACATTCCAAACCTGACCACCTTGGTTTGTCTTGGCCTCGGCTGTTTTGGAGTTCGCTTTATTTGTTTCACATTCTCGTCACAATTTTCGTCGTTCGTCACCCAATCCCATCCCTGCAAACCCAACCAAGTATTAAACGCTTGGAAATTGGAGACGCGAGCTTTAACTCTGATTGCTCAGGGTCGAGAACTGAACATCAATGTAGACATGCGCTCCGCTCTGTGTTTAACGGGGGAAAAAGTTTCACCCCGCATGATTCCAACACAACGCAACATCATTTCGTGCACACCTCGTGCGCGTTACTTTCTAACCCTTTACTTTTGTGAAATTAGTATTTCTCCACACGTTTTAGCGCGGGGAAGAAACGAGTCCACCAAACAGTTCGGTACCATAGATGTGCCAAGATTTCCTATTAGCTGATTACCCGCGATTCGCCAACTTCATTGTGCGAAAAGCAAAAAGGTGCTGGTAACTTCACGCACACGTAATTGCGACAATACAACTGATATCTTCGATTTCTGTGAAACTAACATACGCAGAGTGTATTCCAGGCCCTCAGATTCACTTTTAGGGATGTTGATGCATCAGGGTCCCTGTGAAAAAATGCCTGATTTTTCAGGGTTCCAAAAAAACCTGAATTTTCAGGGTTCCTAAAAACAAAAGCCTGAATAGTCAAATTTAACATGCCTTTAGGAAATATGCTAACCGATGGATTCGAACCGCAGAACTTATCATTCTGTGTGAGTGTCTGGCGGTGGCCAGATGCAGCTACGGCGGCGTCCGACCCTTACGCCCCGGCAGCTTCGTGAGTGGCTTTACTAGCGTGGGCCGTCTCCGAGTCCGGGTCGCTGCCCGTACGTCATTCGCACAGGTCGTCGAGCTGGTGAGACCTGTGGGATGCCTGGTCATGCACAGTCCCGCTGCTTCGCCTATTTGACTGACGCCTGGCGCACAGAGTTTGGCGACGAGGCTGAGATCCCCCCCTGGCTTGAGCTGCTTAGGTCGGGCGTTGCTGTCTTTGCTTTAGACTATGACGCCGTCCTTACTGACATGTCTGCTTTGCCTGGTGGTGCTGAGCGTGACTCTCACCTGTGCGTGCAGTACGACCCCGGTATAGAGGTTGCTGCTCTAGGTGCTAGTGAGGCTGCTGCCTTAGGTGCTAGCGAGTCTGCCTCCTCAGGTACCGCGCCTGCTAAGGCCTTGCACACCTTCACGCTTGACTCAAGTGCTTCCCGCTGTTTCTTTCATGACAGTACTGCACTCACACCACTCACTGCACCTGTTGCAGTCTCTCTGGCTGACCCCTCAGGGGGCCCAGTTCTTGCACGGTCCACCACTGTGCTTCCGTGCCTGGCGGTTCCGTCTGGCTCACTGACAGGCTTCCACCTCCCCTCGTTCTCTACGAATTTGGTGAGCAACGCAGTTCTCCAGGACCAGTGGGTTGACACCTTTACCCCTGGACGACAGCGTGTGGCGATCTGTACGTGCTCTCGGACCGGCCGCCACCTGGCCACGTTTACCCGTCGGCCAGGGTCGAGTCTTTACACACTGACGTCTGCGCCTCCTCAGGTAGCTGCTACTGGTCAGGTGTCTGCGTCACGTCAGGTAGCCTCCCCTTGTGAGTGTCGCTCCCTGTTGCACCAGACTCTTCTCTGGCACCACCGTCTGGGTCACCCCTCCTTGCCACGTCTACGTGGCATGGACCGTCACCTCCTTGTGTCTGGTCTTCCCAGGTCTCTCCCTCCCCTCCCTGCCTCGCCTGCGCCGCCCTGCCTTCCTTGCGTCGAGGGGCGGCAGCGCGCCGCTCCTCACTCCTCCTCGTTTCCCCCGACAGAGGCTCCTCTGCAGACCCTCCACCTGGACGTGTGGGGCCCAGCCCGCGTTCGTGGACAGGGCGGTGAGCAGTACTTTCTGCTGGTTGTCGACGACTACTCGCGGTACACCACGGTCTTCCCCTTGCGCACCAAGGGTGAGGTCCCTGCTGTCCTGATCCCTTGGATCCGAGCAGTTCGTCTCCGGCTCCGCCGCAGGTTCCGCCAGGACCTTCCTGTCCTGCGTCTGCACTCTGACAGAGGTGGTGAGTTCACCTCCGACCTCTTGCGGGCCTTCTGTCAGGGGGAGGGCATCGAGCAGTCGTTCACGCTTCCGGGCTCACCACAACAAAATGGGGTTGCTGAGCGCCGCATTGGCTTAGTCATGGAGGTCGCTCGTACCTCCTTGAGTCATGCGGCGGCTCCCCATTTTCTGTGGCCGTTCGCGGTCCGGTACGCCGCGCAGCAGCTCAACCTCTGGCCCCGTGTCTCCTTACCGGAGACCTCGCCCACACTGCGTTGGACGGGGGAGGTTGGTGATGCGTCGCGTTTCCGGGTCTGGGGTGCTCGTGCCCTTGTCCGCGATATGTCTGCGGACAAGCTCTCCTCCCGCACCATTCCCTGTGTCTTCCTTGGCTTTGTCCCTGACGCGTTTGGCTGGCAGTTTTACCACCTCACCTCGCGCCGTGTCTTCCCCTCTCAGGACGTCACCTTTGACAAGTCGGTTCCTTTCTACCATCTCTTCCCCTACCGCACTGCCCCTCTCCCTCCCCCGCCGCTTTTCCTCGCTCCAGGTCCCCCTCCGGTAGACCCCCTCCCACCTCAGGGTCGTGCTCCTTCAGGTGTGTCTCAGGTAGACCCGCCCCCCTAGGCTGAGCCTGTAAAGGTCACTGGCGACTCAGGTGCTGCTGCGGGAGGTACTGCTGGGGGTGCTGCTTCTGAGGGTGCTGAGCCTGCGCGTGAGGTGCTGGGGAGTGCGGAGCCTGGGGGTGGTGAGCCTGCGGCTGCGGAGTCTGGGGGCGCTGAGCCCGTCCGTGAGGTGCCGGGGGGTGCGGAGCCTGGGGGTGCTAAGTCTGCTGGCGTTCCTTTGGGTCTCGTTTCACGACGCGGGCCTGTCTCACCACAGCAGGCACAAGAGTGGCTTGCGTCGCGTACCTGCCTGCGGAGTCGTGCTGCTGGAGCTGCTTGTCGTGGAGGCGCTGGGAGTGCTGGTGTCTCTGGTCCTGGAGGTGCTCGTACTGGAGGTACTGGAGCTGCCGGGAATAGTGCTGCTCCTGGAGCTGGAGGTGTCGGTTCCGGGGGTGCTGCTGCCGGAGGTACTAAGGCTGAAGGCCCGAGAGCTGGTGCTGTCGACCCTGGAGTTGGAGACCCTGGAGCTGGAGGTGCCGGTTCTGGGGGTGCTGCGGCTGGAGGTACTGGGGCTGGAGGCCCTGGAGCTAGTGTTGTCGACCCTAAAGCTGGGGGTGCTGAGTCTGCTGGCGTTCCTCTGGGTCTCGTTTCACAACGCGGGCCTATCTCACCACAGCAGGCACGAGAGTGGCTTGCGTCGCGTACCCGCCAGAGGAGTCGTGCTGCTGGAGCTGCTTGTTGTAGAGGCGCTAGGAGTGCTGGTGTCTCTGGTCCTGGAGGTGCTCGTACTGGAGGTACTGGAGCTGCCGGGACTGCACCTGCTCCTGGAGCTGGAGGTGTCGGCTCTCGGGGTGCTGCTGCTGGAGGTACTGGGGCTGGAGGCCCTGGAGCTGGTGCTGTCGACCTTGGCGTTGGAGACCCTGGAGCTGGAGGTGCCATTTCTGGGGGTGCTGCTGCTGGAGGCCCTGGCGCTGGTCCTGTCGACCCTGGAGTTGGGGACCGTGAGGCTGGAGGTGCCGGTTCTGGGGGTGCTGCTACTGGTGGCGCAGGAGCTGGAGGTTTTGGAGCTGCTGGAGGCACTGGTGCTGGAGGTACTGCTGCTGGAGTCCCTGGAGCTGGATGTACTGCTGCTGGAGGCGCTGGAGCTGGAGGTGCTGCTGTTAGAGTCGCTGGAGCTGGAGGTTCTGGAGCTGCTGGAGGCGCTGGAGCTGGAGGTGCTGCTGCTGGAGTCACTTGAGCTGGAGGTCTTGCTGCTGGAGGCGCTGGAGCTGGAGGTTCTGGAGCTGCTGGTGGTGCTGGAGCTGCTGGTGCTGGTGGCGCTGCGCAGCCACGACTGTTCTTTGCTCCGCCATCTCCGTCATCTCTGCCACCGCCTGACTCCGTGCTTCACCATGTTCTTAGCCTCCCGTCGTCTACTGGTCTTCCATTACAGCCTGGCTCACCGCTACCTGCTCCTTCTCCTTACACTGAGCAGCCAGGAGGTCTTGCTGAGCATCGTGAGCCTGCGTCGCGTCCTGTCTCGCCTTTCCGCACTGGTCGTCATGTTCCTCGTCCGCGTCCGCCGGCTGTCCCCGGCACACACCTCATGGCTCTGCGTCCGTCCTCTGCTCCGCAG